ATTTTGTAGGTTTTGAACCAAACTAAAAACAGTAAACCTTTTTTGATTTATTTATGTTATTTTCTTATTTTGATGTTTTGAGCTCTTTTGTGTTTAGAACAATATATACTAATTTTTAAAGTATCAAATTGAATTTTTGTTTAATAAAAAATCTTTCAAATGCGACTGTAGCTTTTTTCCCCCAAAACTTTGTCTTCAAAATAAGGATGCGTCTTATATTCCGAAAAATATGGTACTTCAAAATAGTTTTTTTTTCAAGTCATTATGAATCATCTAGTATATTTAACTGTTTATGTTTTTTTATTTATAAGCTTATGTTAGATAAAATATGTTCACCTTTCATTTCCAATATATTCAAATTTGTTTTAGAATGAAACATCGGCTATTATATCTTATATTTCCAATATATGAAAATCTGTTTTAGAATGAAACATCGGCTATTATATCTTATATTTCCAATATATGAAAATCTGTTTTAGAATGAAACATCGGCTATTATATCTTATATTTCCAATATATTCAAATCTGTTTTAGAATGAAACATCGGCTATTATATCTTGTATTTCCAATATATTCAAATCTGTTTTAGAATGAAACATCGGCTATTATATCTTGTATTTCCAATATATGAAAATCTGTTTTAGAATGAAACATCGGCTATTATATCTTATATTCTTGTACTGCTGAATAGCACGTGTATGATTAAGTATGGGAACGGTAAATCCGACACTCAAGTTTCAAAACACTTCTGTTAATGAAAAAGCCGTATTAGCCAGTACACGTTTGAAATATTTATTTGTATCTTTTTATGGGTAAAATTTAATTTTTGTAATTTTTTGGGTGTGTTATTTGTCCGGTGTTTCATTTTTTTTTATAGTAATTAGTATTATTTTTGTAATTATCATTAAGATTTAGATATTCATTGTATGGGGCACTACGATATACGTTTATATTATTCCTGTCTAGTTCCAGTTCAATTTATTTAATATTTTACATTACATTAAACGTTGTATTGTCGTAATTCCTAAGTAATTCTTTGTTTTTTGCGCTTGTTCTTTTCAGATTAAGAGTTGATTATCTCCGATCAACTGAGAGAGATTTTGTTTTTATGCGCTTGCTTTTTTTCAGACCAAGAGTTGATTATTCCCGATCAACTGAGAGAGATTTGTTTTTGTGCGCTTGCTTTTTTCAGACCAAGAGTTGATTATTCCCGATCAACTGAGAGAAATTTTGTTTTTGTGCGCTTCTTTTTTCAGACCAAGAGTTGATTATCCCCGATCAACTGAGAGATATTTTGTTTTTGTGCGCTTGCTGTTTTCAGATCAAGAGTTGATTATTCTCTATCAACTGAGAGAGATTTTGTTTTTGTGCGCTTGCTATTTTCAGACCAAGAGTTGATTATTCTCTATCAACTGAGAGATATTTTGTTTCTGTGCGCTTGCTGTTTTCAGATCAAGAGTCGATTAGCCCCGATCAACTGAGAGAGATGAAAGTGAAACTTTTGAACATTCAGAAGATTGCTGGACAGATTACTCTCAAAACGCAAGAAGCTCAAAGAAAATGTAAACTTGGAAAACAAATAATCTCTAGTGCTGAAGAAAATATTGAAAGTATTTTGAATGTTTTGTTAAATATCGACGAATACTTAAGGAACGAAGGCTTTGAACCTTTAATAAATGCGAGTGACAGATTTGAAATGTTTGGAAAACAGTCTGAACGCATGAAAGAAATAGCAAAGGAAGTGAAACGCCTTGCAGATGGGTAGGTACATTTTTATGTTAGGATTGCAATAGAATTTATAAATTCAATAATACCAAGGTGTCTACTTCTCATTGTTAATTTTCTCTTTTTTTTTTTCAGTTCTTTGGCCAATTTAGTTTTCCCCTAGGGTGTTACTGGTTTTTCTTTTAAAATCGTCATTTACGTTTTCGGTAAATTGACAACATTTCCGAAACAAAGTAGTGAACAGTGTATAATGTAAAAACGTATAATACATTTAATCTCTAGTTTTCAAATTAGACCATTTGCACTTAGAAGTTGTGAACGTGTAGCTTAATGGGCTATTAATCTGAAACTTACTTCACATTTTCTTTTTGTTATTTTCCATTATTCTAACTACGAAGGCTACTCATGTCACGTGCGGCTGTTGTTTCGTTGACTAGAATATCTCAATGTTATATGAGGAAAGCTAATTATAATTATACACATATGTAATTATGGCTATAGTTAACTTTAGGCATGAATCTGTAAGTTATATTGAACTTACAGATATTATACCACTTAAAACAATTTTATAATTATCGTTTAATCGTGTTACGTATAGGTTATAGTACTTGAGCTTTAGATTAATCTGTATGTTTCCTGTCAGTTTTCTTTAGTATAATATTATTAAGCTATATTTATATTCTGTGTGCCAAAGACACTTGAAAGAAGCACAGTCGTTAGAAGATAGCGCTATGAAGGCTGTAAATATCTCAAAGTTAGCCTATGCTAGAGTTCAACAGTTACTTCAAGCTCAGGATGAAACATCGGATGAGATTGAAGAACTGCAAGACACGTAAGTTTCGAACGTATATTTATTTCTGATAAACAATATGCCCTTTTAAGTCTACTAAATAGCTTTGTTGCTCAACCATTAAAGGTTCGAATAGAAATAAGCAGCTTTTGCAATGAAGTGTTCGGATTTCTTTGTTTTTCTGTTTGTTTGTAGTTAAGCACAAAGCTATACAATGGGCTATCTGTGCTGTGCCCACCAGGGGTATCGAAAACCGGTTTTTAGCATTATAAGCCTTAAGATTTACCGCTGTGCCAGTGGGGTTTTTTTTAGTAATTTGTAAGTATTCAACTCTCAGAGTACGGAATTTACTTTTTAAGATTACGATTTTTCTAGAATGTTCTATCATCACATTGTTAACAAAATGTTAAAATTCTTAGAAATAGTGAATCAATTAATATATCATTTTATGAAATAGTTTTACTTTTCCTGATGCCTTGGTATGGTTTGTTTTGTTTTTGTTTTGTTTTGGAATTTCGCGCAAAGCTACACGA